TATTATTATTATTATTCATTTATATAGCGCCATTTCCCATAGCTCAATAGCGCTTAACATTAAGTGTTAAAAATATATACTAAGTGTTAGAACATAGTACATGCATTGACTACTAAAATTACTATACTATAAAATTACTAAAAAATTAATTATATGCTCTTCTCGTTAAGAATATAAAATTACTTTATGTTATGTATGTTGATAATATTAAAACAACAACTATATAGAATACTATAAAATTGCTAATAATCTTGTTAAAATAATAACTTAGTCATAATATTGTTTAAAAAGATGTGTCTTTAATCTGGTTTTAAAAATAGGCAAGGTCTCACTCTTTCTAATATACTCTGGCAGTTCGTTCCACAGTTTCGGTGCAGCATATGAGAACGACGTTCACCATAGTTCACTAGTTTTACTGAGGGAATGGTAAGCAATCCTTTCGATGAGGAGCGTAAATTTGCTGATGGTGTGTAAGGTTTTAGCATATTATTAATGTAATGTGGAGCTGAGCCATTCAGAGATTTATACGTAATAAGAACAATTTTATAGATGATGCGTTGACTGATGGGGAGCCAATGTAATTGTTTCATTAATGGAGTAATATGATCGTATTTTTTGCTTCCTGTCACCAGTCGAGCAGCACAGTTTTGCACATTCTGTAACCGATCAATAAGAAATTTAGGCAATCCGTATAATAAAGAATTACAATTATCCAGTTTCGATGTAATAAAGGCATGAACTAAAGTTTGGATATCTGACGTTGATAAGTACTCTTTTATTCTTGCTATTTTTCTCAAATGGAAAAAACAGTTCTTGCAAATATTGGTAACATGTTTATCCATAGACATGTGGTGGTCGAAAGTTACACCAATGTTTCGTGCTGAAGTACTTGGTTGAATTCTTGAATTAGATACTTCTATATATTCTACAGCAGGGCATGAACGATTTCGTGCATTGATTACTAGTAGTTCAGTCTTGTCCCCATTCAATTTCAATTTATTTTTGACCATCCACAAATCAATCTCTTTCACACACATTTCAATTTTTGCCAGTGCTCCCAATTTTCCCTCAATGGTTGACTCAAAAGCGAACATTCGTTGAACACTTTTGAACATTCGTTGTAGTAAAAGTTCGTGATCAACAGTATCGAATGCTGCTAACATATCTAGTAATAGCAACACCACACACTTACGATTATCAATGGCTACAAGAATATCGTTTTGTACTTTTAATAGGGTTGTTTCTGCACTATGAAAACGTTTATATGCCGACTGGAAGGGTTCTTCTAAGTTGTTATTAGCCAAGTGTTCCAGAAGCTGACCGGCAGCAACCTTCTCAATTACTTTAGACAGGAATTTTGAAATTTGATATAGGTCGGAAATTTGTGTATTCTTCGTACTCCAGCGAATCTTTCTTTTGTTTTGGTTTCAACACGGCTTCTTTTAGTTTCTCAGGCATACAACCTGACTGAAGTGACTCATTACTAATCTTAGTAATTATAGGTAAGAGAGTCTTCTGACAACCTTGAAAGATTTTTGCGGGAACTGGATCAAGTTCACAAGATTTTTTACCAACTTTATCAATAACATTTTCAATCACATGTTCCGTGACTTCTTGAAAGTTAATGAATTTAACGCATTGTGTATATTGTTCCTCTTGATTTCGCTGATTACAGTGGGAAGAATCAATGGCTAGTTCTTTCCATATAATAGCAATCTTATTACTGAAGAAATCTGCAAATTTATTCACGAGTTCAGTCGTTGATGACGCAGTTGGATAGCGCTTTTCTGGCTTTCGATGGAGTAATTTATCAACCGTACTAAATAACACTTTCTGATTATGTGCATTACTGGAAATAACCGATGAGTAGTATGTTGTCTTAGCATTCTTTATCATGGCATTCACTGTCTCACATTGTTTGACATATAACTGTCTGTCAATACATAGTCCAGATGCGCGCCAGCGGCGCTCTAGTTTCCTGCGATTTCTTTTTTCTTGACCAATCTCCTCATTGTACCATGGTGATAAAGGACGAAGAGTTATAATTCGTCGTTTTTGTGGAGCATGCTGCTGTAATGTTTCTTTCAACGTATTTTCATATTTATCAATAAGGACTGAAAGATCATAATCGTCATTTAAATCTAGTACTTTTAGATCTTCATTGAAACTATCCATGTTTACATTGTTTAATTTTCGATAATAAATTTCAGCTTGTTCTAATGGTGGTTTCTCTAACTGTAATGTACAATGTATGGCAAGATGATCTGATATTACTGGATCATGTATTCTGATACCAGTCACTAATTTATCTTCATTCCTTGTTATAATCAAGTCTAAGGTGTGGCCTTTCTTGTGGGTTGGCCCATTGACGTGCTGTTGTAAATTAAACGATTCCAGTATCTTGTTGAGTTTAATAGTATCTGAATCTCCAATGTTATATATGAAAATTAAAGTCTCCTGCCATTAATATATTGCCAGGTAATATGATCAACTGTTCCACAAATATGCAGAATTCTTCAAAAAATATTGAGCTGCTTAATTTATTAGTCTTCGATGGGGGTGGTCTATAAATGACAATCATTCTGGTGCAGGTATTACGGCAGTTCAAGGTGACATCAATATATTCAAAAGAAGAGAATTTTCTCTGAGATTGTTTTTTGACTTTAATATATTTCTTCAGTAAGAGACCTACTCCTCCACCTCGTGCATTTTTCCTTGTAATGTAATAAAAGTGATACCCCGTTGGGCAGATTTCAGCAATAGAAAATTCATTATCATCCTCACGTAACCATGTCTCAGTCATTGCTAGAATATCAATATCGTTCTCAGACACATAACCATTAATAAAAAGTTCTTTCCTATTTATTGATCTGGTGTTCAACAGGCAAAAGTTGATAGGCATAAAATAAGTCTTCTGTTCCCTTGTACAATTGACATAAATTAAATTATTAAAATTTACAGATCGAGTTCGTTCCGTATGGGGCCGTTCAATAATCGTTCTTTACGACACTGAACGGTTCAATCAAACTCTGAAAGGCAAAATGTGGAACGAGCAAACAATGCGCTCACGGTAGATATATACATATTTTTCAGAAATTGGTCAAATCGTACAGCCATTCCCTATATCCTAGTATTGAAATGAGACTGGTTGACGTGAAAAAGGCGGGAATTAATATTGTGTACAGGCAGAAACTCTAGTTTGACACTGGCGATCAAGTCCGGATTAGGAGAGCAAGACAACTTGCTCAATTGTCCCGAGGAAATGTTTTTGCTAACCAAACACGCGATGATATACGCCAACCAGCAGTGCACAGGATTTCTGACCATTTTAGAGTAGACAAATTGCTTCAGCGAGGTGCTTATACAAAATCATTTTCTAAGCACATTTTTGGCACTTGCTAATGGGCTAAACATTGAAAAACGTTTTACAACCAACACATATATATTTAGCAAAAATCAAGAAAGCATGCATTTAAACTTTACCTCCGAAGCATTGCTCTTCTTCACGTTGGCCTACTTCCCACAACTTTCAAAAAAATATTGTTTGCCTTACCAAAAACTACGGACAATTAAAACGAAAGTAAATTATGTTACTGATGAACTAAGCTTCCTAATATTAATTATTAATTTTAAATAATTCATTTAATTTAAACCATGCAGATACTATTATACAGCGGGTATGAAAAAACTGAACAGACTTGAAATTGCTCTCATTTAATTTCGCAAAACAGCTATTAGTATCCAGTTTTCCATCCAGCTTACTTGGGTTCTTATTTGGGAATGAAAAAATTTCTCGAAAACAAATTTTGTAAACTATGGTGGGGGGGTGTCTTTAAGATTTTCAATAGACAATTGTTGGGGGTGGTGCACTGTAAAAATAGATGAAATAGCCCCTTGCCTTTCTTTCTTAATGTTAGTTGGTGAACTTGAAATTTCGGAATTTTAATATAAGGCCAATCAGTACGGAGAGTATATCACTAAGATAACTCAAAAACATAGATCGAGAAACCTGAATAATCTTATTGAAATCCCCATAGAAACCCAAGCCAGAACCGCAAATATTAGGTCAAAATTTGCATATCTTCCTGCCTTTTTACTTTCAAATGTGATGTCGCTGGCCCCGAAATTGACGAAGTGCGTGACGTCATATACCGAGGAAATTACGACTTTGTTAGTTTAGTCGAGACTTGGCTGCAGGGCCACATTCACGACAAGATTAACATTAAGATTAACATTAAGATTATTCATTTAATAAGATTGTTGGAACAGTGTATCACCCACCAAGTGCGGAAAATGCAGCTATGCTGAATTATCTATCACACTGCTTATCAGTAATGGAATCGCGTTTCCCTAATTGTGGCTTTATTATCCTTGGTGATTTTAATAAACTTAATACCTCACGTCTAAGAACTGGCTATGATTTAAAACAGCTTGTCAATTTTCCAACCCGCAGAAACAATACCCTTGACATTGTTTTAACAAATCTTAACGCATTCTTTGATCAACCTACTAAGTGTGCCCCCTTTGGGTTATCAGACCATATGTCTATTGAGGTGAGACCAGTCGAGCGTCGTAATATCCAAGAAAAGTCAAAACTTACGGTAAAAACGAGGGACTTGCGGCCTAGTTCCCGTCTTGCAATGCGTAAATAACTTGAGCTTGTAGATATCCCAGAAATGCTTAGCAGAGTTGATTCTTGTGATGAAAAAGCCTCGCTTCTGGAAACTATTGTTAAAACTGGCTTAGATTATGTCCTCCCATTACGAAGGAAAAAGATTAAATCTAACGATCCCCTCTGGATGAACTCGACACTATAGAGCCTTATTATATATAGTCAAAAAACTCTCAACCAGGGATATATCGAGGAGTTCAAACGTTTGAGGAACCAAGTCAATCGCCAGAGGAAAATCTGCCGAGCTAAATATTACAAAACCACTGTTCAACATTTGAAACAATGTAAGTCTAATGCTTGGTGGAACGAGGTCAAAAAACTCAGCGGTATGAAAGTAGTTGAGGAAAACTCTGATAAGATTGTGAAAGCCTTAAGACCCAATGATAGTTCTTCCAGTGCAGTAAAGAAAGACTTAGCAAACGAGATTAACAATACCTTCTTGTCCCCAATGTCCATATTCGCACCTCTTTCCTTGGATCTTCATCGTCGTTCCTGCACTGAAAGTGTGCTGACAGACACTGTACTTACCGTGTCGGCCGATGTAGTCTTTGAAAAGCTTTCAAAACTTAATCCAAAAAAAGCTGTTGGCCCTGATAATATACCTCCGTGGTTACTGAAGGAAAATGCCGACTTATTAGCCGGTTCGGTAACGGATATCCTCAATTGCTCCTATCGTGAATGTTGCCTTCCCCCTTCATGGAAGGAGGCGGACGTAGTCGTAATCCCAAAGGAAAAATCTATTCAAGATATTAACAATCATTTGCGACCGATCTCACTTACACCGATATTGTCAAAACTGGCGGAAGATTTTGTTGTAAACCGTTATCTGAAACCAGCAGTGCAGGGCCTTTTTTAACATACAAGCTGGGGGGGAATTTGCCCCCTCCGGCCCCCCTTGTGCCCCCCCCACGAAATCACATTTTGCCCCCCCAGGAAAAGTTTCTTTTTCCTAAATTTATACGAAGAATAACAAATAAATAAATGGAAAGTAAGTTTTAGGCTTTATCCTTTGTCCTTGTTTAACAAAAAGCGATCTAAATTGTTACGTTTTTCAACCACTAAGTAATGATAAATTATTGTTAATATTTTTTTATTTCTTGGTTGCTCAGAATGCAGGAAAGAGCATTTCCAGGTTTCAAATTTGAAAAATTTTCAGCAGTGATGGAAAGGATCGATAAGAGACAGTTTGGTACTGTGCCTAAATCTTGCACCACACATGCCCTCATCTCCATGTTACATACCTGGACCAAAAATACAGACGGAAATGGCTCTACTACCCGCGTTATGTTGTTTGACTTTCGGAAAGCTTTTGATCTGATTGATCATAACATTTTATCGGAGAAGCTTACAAGATATAACATTCCTAAAACCATTATGTACTGGATTTTAGATTTCCTGAGTAACCGCAAACAGAGAGTGAAACTGAGTAATGACTGCTTCTCAGAGTGGAGTGATGTACCCGCATGTGTCCCCCAAGGCACGAAGTTAGGCCCCTGGCTCTTCGTAATAATGATAAACGATCTAAATGTATCTGGTGTTGACGATCTGTGGAAGTATGTCGACGATACAACTATATCTGAGTCCGTTGGTAGAAATGACTCAAGTTTAATCCAAAATTATGTAGACGAATTTGCCAGAAAGTCAATTGCAGATGGCCTCCAATTAAAAGAAACCAAATGTAAAGAGCTCCGGATAAGCTTTTCTAGGCCTAACAAAGTATTTGAAGCCCATAACTATTAATGATAAAAATGTTGAGGTTGTAACATCCACAAAATTACTGGGCCTTACCATCTCTAATGATCTCAAATGGAACACCCATATTTCGAATACTTGTAAAAAGGTATCAACACGGCTATATTTTCTAAGACAATTAAAACGTGCCAAATTGCCACCCAACGATCTGGTCCTGTTTTATATCACCTGTATTTGTCCAGTTGTCGAGTACGCGTGCGAAGTATTCCATAACTCGCTGCCGCAGTACCTGTCCGACGACTTAGAAAAACTTCAAAAACGTGCCTTTCGCATAATTTTTCCTGATATGCACTACAAAGATGTCTTGGAGACCAAGAACATTTTGTCACTGAACGATCGAAGACAAAAATTAACAACGAAGTTATTTAACGAAATAGCTAGCAACTCACATCATTACTTATACGACCTCCTTCCGCCATTAAATATTGACGATCACCTTTTAAGGAATCATAGAAATTTTGAACTTCCTGTGTGCAAGACGAACAGACTTAATGATAGTTTTATCATGCACAATTCTAATATATATTTTAGATAATCGATTTGTTTTTTTAATATTCTTAAATGTAAATAGGGTTCATAGCATATATTCCTAATATCTTATATCTGTTAAACTTAGCGTAATTCAGCTGTGAAATTTTCTGAGGCTGTAAGTTCTAAAGTTCAATAAACCATCGATCTATCTATCTAAATAACTTTGCTTTCTTTTTTATTTAAAAAATTCAATATAATAAAAAAGGGAATCAATATTAAAGATACACTGAAATTATATGCTGTCTTGTTTAGTTGTTTCATATACGCAACGGCCGTCGGGTTTTAAATCCATTATAAAATCAATATTTAAAACAAACTTACTTTCGTTAACGTCGGCTCCCTTCTCTTAGCCGATTCTTTCGCCCTTTCTTTCTTGAAATTTACAAAATCTTGCAAAAATGCGAGCAAAAATGAAATATATTTGCAAGAAATTTATCAATCATCAAATCAAGAAATGTTTGCTATTTCGCTGTCGTCATGCAGTTGTTATAATGCAAACTTTAAATTGGACCAATCAGTGTCCGCTATTCATGACAGTCCGCCATATTTTTCAGATCAGTGAGAATGACCACCCACCGAACCACTCACGGTAACCCACGCTCACGCTCATTGATGAACTTTAGACTTGGCTAATACTTTTGTTTCCCCGGGTGTAAATAGCCGGGGGGAATTAGTACCCTCGCCGTCGGCTCGGGGACAAACAGGTGCCAAACAGTCCGTATTAACTGTACACTCTCGGATACTCTAGAAGTGTGAATGGGGTACCACAAGGAAGCATACTTGGGCCCTTGTTATTTAGCATTTACGTTAACGACCTACCATCAGTACCACAGCAATGCCCAACTGATTTTTACGTTGATGATACAAAACTGTATATGTGTTTTCCTGTTAGAGATTATGATCTAGCCATGGACCTCATGAATGATGATCTTACAAGAATTCGAAATTGGTGTTTCCAGAATTTATTGCTTTTAAATCCTGACAAAACCAACCTCATGGTTTACGGAACCAGACAGTTGATTACAAAACTACCTGGTGATTTTTGCCTTTCACTGTTGGGAAAAGATCTTAATTTTCCCTGGAAATGTAGCGAAAGACTTGGGAGTAGTAACAGTTAATTGATCGTAATCTAAATTTCAACAATCACATTGTGAAAGTGACAGCTTCGTGCATGTCAATTTTAGGACAAATTAACAGAATTAAACATTTTTTAATAAGGAATTGCTCATTATTATTATTATTATTAATGCATTAGTGTTTAGCAAGCTTTTTTATTGCTCTTCCGTCTGGTCGTCAACCTCCGGGAAAAATATCAAGAAACTTCAATATATCCAGAACTTTGCCGCACGTATCATCAGCGGTCATAGAAAATATGATCACGTGACTCCAATATTAAAAGAGCTTCATTGGATTCCATTAATTAACTAATTCGTGTATTTTAAAAACTGCTTTTCTGTTTTTCGTCATTTAATTCCTCGGAAATATACTAACAAAATGTTTTAGTCATTTTTGCAGCCCCTCCCCCAGGCGTTCGGCACCCCGTCACTTGACAACTGGACGCCCGCCAGTTACGGCACTGGTTATTGTAATGCAGTCGGTATTGAAAAACTATATAACGACAAAGAACTTGTGTTCGCATGTATAGTGAGATAGGGCAGTGATATAAACGACCAACATCTTGAAAAAGGGTGCTTGGCGTCATGATTTGCTGTTAATTGCGGGCAGGTTTATATAAACAGACAACAATTCCACATGGTCGGTATATGTGATTTTTTATGACAAGAACTATTTAAAATACGAGCAGGAGTGCTTTATCGGATGTTCTTGTATAATTTAGGATATGTATATTGTTCTCGTTGATAGATGTTACAATACTCATGCATGGTATCCTTCGTGTCCCAAGGGTGCATCTAAATACATCGTTATTTACCGTGATCCATGTGCTGCCTTCTACAGTTACTTCAAGTTCGTGAAAGGTTGGTTATTTCAACCAGGAGACGTTTCACTTCATGAACTTGTACAGGATTTTCTAGTCGCTATTGGTATTCCAAAAAAGAAGATGGAATTTGCATCCTATTTTGTCCACTTGCTCAGCTGGTGGGAACACAGGAATGACTCGAATGTTTTATTTCTGTTCTTTGAGGATATGAAAGATGATTTAGAAAGTGTAGTAAGGATGGTTGCAACATTCATGAAAATTCAAGATGAAGAAAAGATTAAGAAGGTTGTGGAAATGAGTTCCTTTGAATTTATGAAGAAAAAGGAGAGAAAGTTTTCAGAGGTTCGTCTCGCACGTTGTCGGAATAAAAGTTGTGGGATACCTGATGATACTGTACCCAGTAAGGTTGTCACGGGATCTGCAACGAAAGGACGAGAATTGATGGATGGCAAAACTAAAGAAATTATTCAGGCAAAGTGGCTGGAAGTCGTTGGGAAACAAACTGGATTTCAGGATTACAATGAGTTGAGAAGTGCATTCAAAAAGGAACAGATGAATAAAAATTAAGATATTTGATATTGGAGAGATTCAGATTTGACTTCCACTACCGCTACCACTACCTTTAAGGGATCATTAACCAATCATATTCAATATCGATCAGATACGTGCTAAGCCGGTGAGAGGTAGTGGTTGTGATAGTGGAAATCAAATCTGAACCTCGCTAATAGCAGAAGATTGTAAAATGATTATGGGGAGCCACATTACAGCTTCCTTTCGAACAGATTTCTACCGTCATGGCAAAAATATGTCTTTTTCCTTGATCCTATATGTTAGTATAGGTACTTGTAAAGTAGTTGTCAGATCTGATGTCAGATATTTATGACGAATTATAATAATGCATGTCTTAAATCATTTGATATAAAAATATCTAGTATTTTATAGCAACAAATTCAATACGTTGTATTCAAGAATATAGACTTTTAGCTGGCAAGATGGCAGCCGAAATTAATAATTAGAGACCTAGAATTTTAGACGACATTCTCGCACATTTTTAACAAATCAAATATTTCACCCCTTTCATTAAACAATTTTATTATGCATTTAATTGCGCCGTCAGTATTTTATTCTTTTTGTCCGTATTTTATTTTCTGTCCGCATTTTAGTCTTTTTGTTCGTCTGTTTGGCCCCGTCCGTCCGTCCGTTTGTCCGCGTCCGTCCGCCCGTCCGCCCGTCCGTCCGTATCCGCGTGTTATCCCATCCAAGGTAAAAATACATGTTTTTCAATTTCAGGTGGTGAGCATCAGGGCGGTGATCTTTTTAGAGTAGATATATGACGCAAACCATGTGCTTTCATTATTTTACAAGTATCCAATTAATCCCGTGGTCGAAGCAACATTTTAAATGTTTTACTGCAAGGACACAAAGCCCCCTAGATGAGTGTGTGCGCTCTTGGGGCAAACTCATTTTGATTAAAATACAGTATGTTTAAATACATGTACTTAAAAGCTCCGAGAACTGAATTATTGCTTGATAAATTAATCCTAGACCACAGACAGTACGTTGGAGACTAAATGATAACATACATATGTACATATGGGACAGATACAATAACTGTTGTGAAGATGTTACAGTCGATTTCAGGTTACTTTTCAAAGCTCGATTCCCAAGTTTGTTTTGAATATTCCTAATTACATTACCAAATTTGGAATATTGCGTGAGAACTTGCAAAGCCAAATTTGCATGTTGGTGAATTAAGTACTGAAGTACCCGACTAAAGTACGGAAGTACTGAACTAAAGTACTGAAGTACTGAACCAAGTACTGAATTGAAATACCAAAGTACCGAGTTGCATAAGCAGATATATGGGCGACGAATTAGACGAGTTCCTTCTAAGTTTTAGGGATAAAATAGGATCCCAAAGTTACCAAAAGATAGCCACGATTCTTCGAGAAAATGATTTTACGTCTACATTAAAATTGTTAGATAGCGAAAATCTTGAAGAAATACTTAAAGGATCGGAGTTGCCACTTGGGGTAAGGAAAATATTGGACTACCATCTTGACTTGATAAAAAAAACAATCTCCGTTGAATCGAAAGGCTTCTAAATATTGCTGCAATAAAAACGTAACCTCACCAGACGAGGCATGTAGTGACAATGAGACTACCCATGGCGTTGCTACTGAAACCTCGAAGCAGAATTCCACTGCGGTATGTACAAATTTAAATATGGTTATATGGTTTATGCTGCAATAAAATTATATAATGTAAAACGTTTCAGTTTGATATTATACTAACACCGCATTTGCTGTTACCTAGAGTAAGACTACGGAATATCCAACGACAGCAAAGCGGCCATTGCAAAATCGTCAAAGAAATGTCGAAGAGCAAATTCGTGCAAATCGACAAGAGTTGCAGGTGATGCAAGTCCGTTTGGAATCAATGAGCATAAACGTACCGGAATTACATGAGATTGGAAGCTATAAAGTCGTCTGTGGTAATTGTCATCACCGAGGACACAGAAATGAACAAACTAAACCATGCAGTGGCGAAGCCAGCCCGACCTTTTACTCCTGCTATGTAAATTTCAATTCATTATCATTATTATTTTCTTTACAAATCGATTGTTTTTACAGACCATTAACTCGGAAAAATTAACATAGCAAGAGTAAATAGTCAGGCTGGCTTCGCTGCTGAAACCATGTATCATGGAAAGATGCTCGTCATTTACGTACTGCGGCATTAAGGATAAACATCCGGAATATACTTCTGAAATGATTCGAATGAAGTGCGCCATAAAAAAAGAGCGGCGCTATTAAACAGCTTGAAGAAGAATTGGAAGGCATTAATAATTTCCAAAGCCAGAGTGAGCACCAGTTTATAAAAGCTTTTACCCCAAGAATGATGAAAGTTAATCCTGAATATAAAACGAACCGACCAAAACTTCTTCGTGATATTAGAATATTGCGTAAGTTTTTTGGTGGTAAAATTGCCGAAGAAACTACCAATGATCCCGAACAGCTTAGAATTACAATTGCCAAGTGTAAACGTACGTTACAAGATGAAGTTGGCGATGTAGGAGTACTCGGCATCGTAGGATACGAACGAAGACAACAAAGTCAATCAAGCGGATCGACACGCAGCGAAATTCAATGTGAACATGAACTTGTCGCCTGTCAAAAACAACGGTAAAGTCTTGACACAAAAAGAAAATATGAACACAGATTTCATCGAAACAAATATCATGAATAATGAACAAAATACGAGGCAAAAGCATTCCCGTGCTAATAAAGGGAAGAAAAAGCGTAAACGTAAAGGCAAGTCAGTTTACCACGACAGATCTTCAAGTAACTCCGAGCTGAGTTCATCCTCAAGTGTCAGTAGTAGATCGTCCAGCAGTGATTGCCTCCACAGTCGGAAAAAACCTAAGAAAGCCTCTACAAGAAGAAAGCTACCGTACAATGAGCAGTCGCACAGTATAACGGGTTTTACCCATTTTCCAGTACAAAATGTGTACTCCCAACAGCCTTTCTATGAGAATCATCCGATGGGCACATTTCCTATGGCTATATGCATATGTTGCCTGCATACAACTACTTCGGGGCACAATCGTCGTCAATACCGTTCAGTACATTAGAACACAGCGGTTTCAAACAACAAACATTGGAATTAAACACTGCTACTGGTGATAAAGAATCGGGTCAAACGACTGTCAACGAAGAAACTGAAAGGCCTTATGAAAGCTCTCCAGGTTTAGATCTGCTTTCTTCTGCAGCATATTTTATGCAAGACAAGCATTAGATAATTATAGCTGACGTTGCAGCTGTACATACTTCTACTGTGGTTATACATGTAATACTACAAGTTGAGTTCGTATTGGTTAAGTTTTGCATTTGTGTTTTGTATCATCAGATTTACATAAGAACTATATTGGCGCACATCGGATTGCAGAATTTATTTCAAAAAATTATGTATTTTATTTTTGTAATTGATATATTGGCGGTATTCATTGCCGGTACAGTGTACCTCGTTTTTAATTTGTTGGATGGTATCGTAATAAATAGGTTGTTGTGCATTTATGTAGTTTGGTTTGTTCGTTGATTGCATGGTATATGAAAAATTAAGGTTAAAAAAACGCTGTCAATTTACATGCGAACATGCAGAAATTGCGAAGTTCAAAGCGAAACAGCCTGAGTCCACGTTAGGAAAAGTTGTTCTCGACAAATTCTCTTTTTTCTCTGGTGGAGAGGGTGAACATGGACGATTTGAGGGGGTAAACAAAGTTTTGTTATATGGAAAATTTATTCACGGTGAAAGCAATAAAACTTACATCATTCAATAGAATTAACCATGCGCACCCATCCATACGATACAAATAACAGAATTTTTGCGCTAAAAGAATGTTTTTTGCTACGAAAGGTCAGGTTCAGAAGTTTGACTTAAACCAAGGTCAAACTATAAATTTTAGGTTAACAAAGATTTGTTACATGGGAATTTTGCATGGAATTACGTGTAGTCGTAATTATAATACAGTATTTGGCTGTTCCGCGGCTAATGCATTTTTCTTACCTTTCTGCTCCCATGCATATAATATAAATTACAATAAATTTGCTGACACAGAGTACCTCTAAAAAACACACTTTATAATTTTTACATAATATTTACAATATATCTTTAATACTGATTAGTTATATATATATATATATATATATATATATATATATATATATATATATATATATATATATGTATATATATATATATATATATATATATATATATATATATATATATATATATATATGTATATATATATATACTGCCACGAAAAATTGTTATATGTAGCCACAAAACTTGAAGAACTGTCTTGACAGACCCTCGTTTATCATTCCTATTGCATCAGAAATGCACAACTCCGTATATTTCTCAGTGTATCTTCAATAGCGGCGCAGTGTGGTCTTTATGTGATTGAAACATGCTTCACACGTATTATAACATGGATGGTAAGGTGGTTGATAAACTAACAACTGAACATGTCTCTCTTGTAGCATATCTCGTAAAAGCGGTTCTACGTTATTGCCATGATGAAAACCGCAGTTCTTAAAAGATTTATCGAAGGTGTCAGTCTCTAACTTTCATCAACTATGGATAAATCTACAATGCCAGAAAAACAAATCAATAATAATTTGTGTAACCTACAGAATTAAATCTCACACAGATTATTAAAACTCCAACTAGAATCACGGCGACGTCCCAAACGCTTATTGATGTTATTCTAGTCTCTTCCACAGCACTTGTTCTTGAGAGTGGTGTTATTAACACTTCTATCAGTGACCACTTACCAGTGTACGTCCTACTAAAGTTAAAGGCCCCAAAGATGCCAGCATGTTACATTACAACTAGGAGTTATAAAAACTATAATCCCTCACTATTTTCCTCTGACCTTGTCACTAAATCGGATCGTCTGTTATCCATATTATCCAACACCAACGTTAATAGTTAATACAATACTCGAAACCTTCAAAGATGTTCTTCACTCAACTCTCGACGTGCATGCACCGTTAAAAACCTTCAAAATTCGAAATTGATCATGTCCATATGTCACCAATGAAATAAAAGAACTCATGAAGTCTCGGGACCTACACCTCCGTCGGTTTCAACTGACACGTGATGAAGGTGATTGGTTAGTTTACAAAGAATATCGTAATAACGTAAAAACCAAAACTAAAGCCGCAGCGAAGGACCACACCTTCAACGAAGTAAGAGAACATAAACACAATTCGAGATCCCTATGGAAAATAATTAATAATATAATTCCCTCGAAGGAAAAGGAAACACAAGTTTATAGTAAAGATCCAAAAACAGTTGCAGAAGATTTCAACCTTTTTTTTTACTTCTGTGGGACGGAACGCTGCTGCGACAGCCGAAAGTTTAGCCAAAGACAACAATGTTGCACTGTCAAATCCTCTGTCAAATGTAATCACCTATCCATCTGATCAACTGTTCAATTTCCAATCCGTTACTTGTACAGAGGTTCAACGCATTATCATGGCTATGCCAAGTAATAAGTCACCAGGACCAGATAAAATAGGCATGCGTGTCATCAAAGACTGTCTTCCAATCATACTGGGTCCTCTTACGCATATGATAAATTGCTCTCTAATGACAAGCACATTCCCTGACCTCTGAAAGATTTCTGAAGTTATACCCCTACTAAAAGAAGGAGAC